TAGCTCTTATACTTTCTGAGATCCTTCCATTCATACAGACGGACAGACGGACGGACAGACAGACGGACATGGCTATATCAACTCGACTTGTCATCCTGATCAAGAAAATATATACTTCTATTACATACATTGGCACAAAATTATGATACCCTTTCACCCTATGGGTACAGGGTATAAAATAGCTAATTCAATTATTGGATCTCTTTCATGGCTTAAGCGTCTCTCGAATGCATTAATCAAAATTTAAATTAAAATTTTAACTACGATTTGACATAAAGTTAGGTACGCCCGGCCTGAATTTCAGACTGCCGTTTTTCTATCAGTGTAGTAACACTTATTTAAGAAATTAGTTGTGTAATATGTACTTAGCATACGTGTATGGGGCAAACTTTGGCCATAAAACTTCGCAGTCAGTATCATATTTTCCACCAAGAAATAGAATGCTGTTCCTGGTCGCCGTACAAATTCTTGTTCTCAGCATACTCCCGTTGTCCAATATGCAGATGTTCAATTGTCCACCGGGCTTTATTCAGTTGGGACGATTTTGTTTCAAGCGGAATACAAACCCATTGGACAATATATTTAAATGAATGAAAATGTTATGTACAGGTTATTTGTAACTGAGCACATACAAGTATTATATGCAATCGATAGTTTTGTGAAATAAAAATGCATTTTGAGCAAATATGATGCTTCAAAAAGTTGTACCCAGTAATACTAAAGGCTTAAGCAGCTTTAAATGCAGCGTTATTTGACCTTCTCTTGATCCTGATTAGTCGCTGCAAACAAAAGCTTCCGTTCAACCCCCACCAAGCCGGTAGCAGCATTTGCTTCCGTCCCAATACAGCGGCAGTGACAGCTTCCATTCTTGTTCCTCAAAACATGCAGCCACTACTCCTTGAAGTTGTGATTCTGTGGTAGTGTTGAAGAGTATGTGTAAGAATATTAGGACTGGGCTTCTGTTCATCGATGCTGGCGGAAGGTAAAACGTTCATGACAACATCCCCATCTCTAACCCTTGCTGCCGTTGCCGATATTAATTTATCATTTACTTACGTTGCAGCTCCAAATGATCATGAGGGTGTTCCTGTCCAACTGCCAGGATGTGCAAGCTTAAAGCCTTTGCTGCGGCATAAAATCGACAGAAAGTTTAGTGTTTCGTTATTTGTCTCCTCTCCCACCGCCAACCAGTAATGGGGTAGCTGAGATTAAGGGCAAAGAATCGATAGCAGAAGATTTAAGTCCGCCAGCTGTAATATTATTTTGGTTAATACATCCAGTTAGTGATTATGTGTCCGTATGTTAATCATGATTGGTCAATTCTGAAGAAAGTTATAGTCATAAATAAAATCGCTGCCCATGATCTACCTTCATCTCTGCCCGCAGGTGTTGTTGTTGTTGTAAACTTTGGTTCAACTTTGTGCTGCATACATACACGCATATATTTTCTCATTTTTCGAACAAGACTTGAACTCTGATAAGAAAAAATGTTGGACCATTAGAACAAGCGTAATTCTAAATAAAACGGTTTATTTTTTAGAAAAGTTGGTGCGTCTAACGTAAGACCAGCAGTGTAGGTGATTATACGAACGGAAAATCGGGAAAACCCCCATAGGGGGGAAGTGGGGGAAAATCAAAAAAATAAAATCTTTGTGCAAAGTTTGGTGTCTCTACCTCTTATAGTCTCTGAGATCCAGGTGTTCATACAGAGAGACGGACAGACGGACTGACAGACAGACAGGGCTAGATCGACTCGTCTCCTCATGCTGATCGAGAATCTATATACTTTGTGGGATCTGCCATGCCTCCTTCTGCCTGTTACATTTTCAGCTCCCGCAAATCTAATATACTCTTGTACATATCATGTACAGAGTATAAAAACCAATGCAGTTCTATTTGGAATTTTTCTGAGAGTATACAAACTAAGTTTGAAGTTAATCAGATGAAAATTGTAGATTTTTCATACAAAGAGCCTTTTTTCCCCCGATTTGGAGATCGAACTCTCCAAATAAGCTTCTTATCGCCAACCTACACTACATATATTTTATATATAGATAAACGTATAATTGTAACCACAAAAACTGAGCCAGCAAAGACGAGCAAGACCTGCTAGTGACTTAAAACTTTCAAATCCATAATATTGTAATTAACATCAATTTTATCGCCTTTAAAGTAGTACTTTCTTCGATATTGCTTCAATCTCCTCAAGTGTGTGAAACGGTGTCTCCGAATTGGTATTTTAAATTTATCAAACAAGCAGAAGTCACATGGAGATAAATAGGGCGAATACTGTGGTTATAGAACGATATGGGTCTTGTTTCTGGCCAAATGGTCACGAAGAACAAGTGCAATGTTGCTATGATTTTGTAACCAAACGAGATTTGACTTTTAGGACGCACAAATCTCTTGAAATGGTGGACTTATTCATAAAGAAAGCCATCAGCAAAGATGTAAATCAATGATTTTGAGCACAAAATCTATGACTTTCTTAGATTGCTATTCATTAGTTGATGTTCTTGGACGTCTTGGGTGTGGATCATATGAAAAGATTTTTGGACCGTCTTTGAACAGCTTGAGCCATTTATAATCTTCTTTTACAAATCACTTTAAGATGTTCACAAATCACACTTCAGCAAAGGATTCAAGGTTAATTGTAAGCAGAATAATATAAAAAGTACGAGCATATACCTCCCAAATAATTTGCATGGCGAGACAAAACGATTTTTACATACGTGCACCTGTCCATCTGTCTGGATGAAATTCTTGATTTTGGAAACGGCTGACCACAGATTAAGAGTCGATTTGTCTCCTTGAAACATACTGTATTTGCAGGAAACGCCTATCGTTGGATATTAAGAACTATACTTGTATAGTGACAAAGCAAGGCAGATACATTATTTTTACTTTTTTACAAATTTGTAGTTTATCTTGTGTCTATTGAAACATTAACTTATCACCTTATCATGGCCAGGGAATATCCCTGGCCTAGAGTTTGTGTCAATATATGTAGTATAGCTTAAATATTTAGCTCAGTAATGTTGCTTGATAACAAGTTTGGTTCCATTACACTTTTTGATATCTCTGTGTTCACACAGGGATGGATGGACTAATCTTTCTTTCAAAATAGTCCTCTTCGTAATGTATGCAGTGATTTACATGGAATTTTTGGTTATCACTGAACCAGACCCAATTGTTCAATTTAAATGGCTAATTTTGAGAAATTTTACTCATTTCAATTATTTTCATCGAAGATTTTGGACTATTTTTGATAATTTCAGGTACTTTTTTGAGTGCGTAAACAGGACTTTTTGAAACTAGCTATCTTTATGGATTGTCCAGACATTTCATCGATTGGAAGTGAAGTTATTGCGTTTTAAGTGTCAGTATGTTTGTGTTATCGGTGCGAAAATGAGCTTCGAACAAAGGGCCAACAATAAATTTTGTTTTAAAATTGGTAAAACATTTACCGAAACCTTTCAATTGATGGAACAAGTTTATGGCGATGATTGCCTATCCCGTAGTAGAGTGCACGAGTGGTTTCAACGTTTTCAAAGTGGTCGTGAGGACATAAATGACGATCAACATGTGGGCCAATCAAAAATCAGCCGAAATCATCATTGAAATTGATGGAAATGGAATTGAACATCTCCAAAACATCGATTTATCGCATTTTGACCGAACATTTGGGCTTACGAAAGGTGTGTGCACGGTGCCACCAGACAATGTCCTCTAACAAAGTTTTTACTTAAGAGCCCACTTGTACGTACTACTCGTACAGTTGTATCTTTTGGGTAAAGGGTATATTATAAATCATTAAAATGCAGGGACCCATACGTGAGTTTGGTTTATGTCAGTCCAAGGAACATATAGTATGTACGTGTATGTTTGTATTCGTGTTACCAAAGGCATCACTTTAAAATGCGACCAACTTGTCCAACCTAGTCCAAAAAGAGGAATCACGGCTGTATCCTCTGGAAAGAGCAAATGATGGTGTCAAAATGACAAGGACAGACAGCAAGGAGGCGAAGAGCCGGACACATGAATGGAGCTGTTCCGACCCCGTGTGTAAGCGCCAAAGCGACAGCTACATTTGCTAACTTGCAGCAGAAAAAGCAGGAGCAACAAAAAAATGAGCGTCTAAATGTATATCTAGCTGCCGGCCATGCATTGTATTGCAGTTACGTGCTTGATGACCCAACAAAATTGCGAAACGAAAAAAAGCCAACGCTTCAAGACACTGCCCCCTAGCCCCACGTCTGTGTTCATTGTTGTGCGTATGTGAGTGTGTGTGTGTATGTGTGTGTGTGTGTTTGTGTGTGTGTGTATATGTGTGTGTGTATGTGTGTGTGTATGTGTGTGTGTATGTGTGTGTGTGTGTGTGCGACGTGGAAACTGAAACTGCCAAACCGGATTTAACTTGTAGGAAACTTTAAATAAGTTCAAGTTGTGTATTAAGTATTTCTGAGCCACACCCACTTGACGGGGCTGATGCAGCATAATAATGATGGCTTGATGCGCTTCAATTGATTGTCTGATTGAGTGATTGATGAGAGGCTGATAAAATAATTCACACCCAAGCCTTGCATTAAATTAGGCGCCGCCCACAAGCTGATGGTCAGTATTTCCATTTTCATTTTCTATTTGCCATTGCTCATATATTTTATTTTTAGATGGTGCATGGGGCGTTTCTTAGTAAGTATGTACAAGTATGAGTATATAGTATTGCCGATACACGCGACGAGAATATGCATGCATACATACATAGATACATATGTACGGTATGTTCTCGTAGATGACAAATGTATGAGTAACTATGTAAGCATGTGTGTATTGTGTGAACAAAAATAGAATGCCCGCAGAGGACGCGGCCGTCCAATTAACGCGGCTTTTGCGTTCTGGCCAAAACGACGTCACTTCTCTCGTGTCAAATGTGAGCCGGAAGTGCTTGCACGGCCATAGCAGTCATGGCATTTGTATTCAAATCCTAAATCCCAGTCGCCATGGATCAGTGGACCGGCGTGCATCGTGCCTTCATTATTAGAGCCTACTACAAGAGTAACGACTCAATAACAAGCGCTCAGCGTCTGTTCAAGAAACAGTTCAGTATCTACCAGGTTCCGCCCTCGAATGTCATCAAGTCCTGGCTGCGCCATTTTGAGTGCACGGGATCCTCGCAGGCGGGGGGAAGTGCATGTCGTGGATCGTTGCCGGTATGTAAACCACCCATTGCCATTATCCTCCACACATACCAACTTAATCTGATCCTTCTCGTTCTGCAGCAAATCTTCTGCACCATTTGCAATCATTGCTTGAGTAATGAAAAGAACTTTGTTAGTTCCACAAAGTGAAAAATATTCCTACATAGAATAATTAGGGAAATTGAACAAGCAGGTTTTTTTTATTAATTAAAAGCATGAAAACGCCATCACTCTGAACTGTCACTCGGATATATAAATCATGTGCTTGGCTCTGTTTATTCAGTTGCCAGACGTTTGGCTGTTACGCCTGAGAACAAATGCACGACCCAGTTGGCAGTTTGTGCACTTTTAAATAAAATGTAAAATGCAATTGAATGCTTCAGTTTATATTACATTATTTGTTAGTTATAAGCTACCATAAGCAATTGAAGTGCCTTAGCTTATAATAAACTAAAGCACTAAACACTATTCATGTTTTAAGGCCGTTACTCTTCCTGATCTTTTCACTTTCTTATGGCTTCGTCACACTGGGACAACAAATTTAGCTTGAGATTGGAGTTCGTATTTTTTCAAAGCGGGAGAAATATATCCTTTATACCCTTTGGGTACCGGAGTACCCGCTCGACTGTTTTCTTTACTTTCTGTCTTTTCTTCATATGCAAAATACTTGTATATTCCTTGAAGCTCTCTTATGTGAGTTTTTAATGTCGGCACTGCATACTGGGAGTTAGTGATGAAATGTATCTTCTAATATGGAGCGCAACTTATCGAAATTACTAACAACTGAAGATTGGCCACTTGTATTATTTAACAAGTAAAAAGAGAGAAAGAAAAATCTCCAACCCGGTGGGTTAATTGCCAGTAAACTTTGCGCTGACTCAAAGCCGCCAGTGGTCAGAGAATTTCCCCGAGATAGCTATAGAGAGCAGTTCTTAAAGAAATTTAGTGCGATTTCTGTAAGTGAGAAAGGAACTGAAAAGTTATGTCGACCTAAGAGGGCAGAGGAATCTACATAACCAATAGCCAGCATGTGGAGAAAAACTACACTAAAAACAATCCAACGAATTGCTAATAATGAAAGGCTTATAAGCAACAGTTATTTCCATCTGCACTTAAGTTCTCTGTTTCCTTTCCAAAAGCTTCTCTTTCAACAAATCTTCCCCACCGGGTCAGAGATTCCCGTTTTTATACCCTGTACCCGTAGGGCAAAAAGGGTACATTAGGTTTGTGCAAAGTATGTAACACGCAGAAGGAAGCATCTCCGACCCCATGAAGTACATATATTCTGAATCAGCATGACGAGAGAAATCCATCTAGACATGTCCGTCCGTCCGTCTGGATGAACGCAAGGATCTCAGAAACTATAAAAGCTAGAATAACCAAAGTTGGCATCCAAATGATACCAAACTTACACACATAATTTATATATAATTATCTACTGTTGTTTAAAATTGTATTCAATTCGGTCAATTCTAAGAAAAGTTATTTATATATAATTATCTACTGTTGTTAAAATTTTATTCAATTCGGTCAATTCTAAGAAAAGTTATTAGTTATTAGTTATTAAAATTCTCTCCAGTGCAACCCCCCAAACTGCAGCAACAAGTTCGCTCTTCTTCTTCCTCTTTTTGCTGCTGCTATGGGCGCATATAACTCAGTGACGGAAGTTTACCTGGGTACAGGGTATTACACTGTCGGGCTTGCTCGACTGTAGCGTTTTCTCTTGTTATAGCCTGTTCTCAAAGGGTAAAAGGCTTTATTAGTTTCTCGACTTTAGTATTCCTTTCTTGTTTCCAAATGATGAATAATAATGAATTTATGTTCTAATTAATTCACAATTTTCGGTCTCTGATAAGTTTTTTCTTTGCTTTTGAAAGTTTTATTTATACAAGTACTTTTTATCTTCACCACATGCCTCCGGAATGGAAATATGCAGGATCTGAAGGCAGAATCTGGCGAAGCTCCAGCAGCGACATGTCATGGATGACATGATCGGCAGCAAAGCAGTGTGGGCTACCAGATATCTTCAGAATATAAGCGAATTGGGGCTATCCGGAAGAAGCAATAGTCCTCGGGCGTACCGCCAGGGTTCGAATTATAAACGAATATAACGAATGCCCCTATACACATACATATACGCATATACACAAGCACGCGAATACACGTTCCCCCAAATTTCATTGGCATTTCTGCCTTGACGGCGAGGAAATTGTCCACTTCTACAGCATTCCATCAAACTGTCATGCCATATCAAATGAAAATAATGCGGCCTAATGACAGCTGCCTGGGCACACGTACGGCATATAAGATATACTCGTATGTATGTGCATATATGTGTATATGTAAATATTAGCGATGTATCAGCCACACCCCCTCAAATCGGCCCTCTGCCCCATTGCCGCCTCCGCTCGCTCGTTCGCTATTAAAGATTACGCCTATAGAGATTACAATCGGAAAATGCGCACAAGGTTTTGCGACTGTTGGCATTAGCTTGAGATATGAGGACACATTTTTCTAGGCAACCAAATGAAATTAGGCAGGGATGCCTGTATAATAGACATAAACATTTCGTTGGCAAAGGAAGTGCGTTGCCGGAAAGGAACATCAACGCCAGTGGAAGCGGCAAAGAGTGGCAGGCAGCATGTCGGCGAGCTTGGCATCATAATTTCGAAATGACAGGTAATTTGGGGCTAGAACAGGAACAAGCGTCGCTAACATCAGTAACTCGGCAACTGAATGAAGTGAGCGCGTGGAAAATCGGAAAATGATGCGAGTTTATTAAGTACCGTTACTCAAAATGTACGAAACGCTAACGAAATCCGCAACAAATTTATGACCCGCATTTAAAAAAATGAAGCAACGGACACGAACATTTCTATTTTAAATACATGTACGAGTATTTGGTGGTTGCATTTTGGGGACGCCTTGCGTTCAGGACAAAATCATTTGAAATTATGAAAGCAAACAAATGCTTCCGCCCATAAACAAGTAAATAATGAACGGAATTATATGGAGCACCTTGGCCGCGCACGCGATGAAAACCAGGTGTGCAATATGGGTGGAACTTTGGGCGATTTCATGTGTCATTGAAATTTAGGGGACGGCTACGTGTAAGAGGCAAATCGCTTAATGATGATTGCATATAGGAAGCGTTCGACGATAAAGTCAGTCGAGCCTAATTCTTGTACTACAAGTATATACCTGTCCGCAGTACTCTCCCTGGCACAGGTGCCAGGATTTTGGGGACACAAGAAGCTACTGCCGTGAGAGGCTGCAAAAGCCTTAGTACTCTGGAGTGCACCAAAGCAAGGGACCATCTGGCAAGTGTTTACACTGTGGAGAGATAATGACAGCGTCCTATAAAGGCTGCAAACGTTACATATGCAAGGCCGTACGCAGCTTTTATTTATTTATTTATTTATTTATGTCAACAAACAATGACTGTCGACATAGGAAATACTTGTATATAAAAATTATAAAAAGCACCTTATAAGCTAGAAAAGCCTAAGAAGGAGAAATCTAATCAACCGGTGGAGGAATATTATTTGCCCCGTCTCACAACCAAGTGTGGTTAGAGGCGTCAATAGATCTACCGATATAAAAAAAGAAAAACTTACCAGAGAGAAGAAGCTTAGAATTACTTTAAAGCTAAGTTTAAAAAGAAAAAAGTGAGAAAAAAAATAATTTGGAATCTCAGATCTGGTGGGGGAAGATTTTTGTTAGCCAGCCCGGCAAGCTATGCCCCGTCTCACAGCCGATCCTGGTAAGAGATTCCGGAGATGGCTTATATTATAGCAAGAGACAGTTCAGTTGAGAGCAGGTGAAAATACTCATTGTAAGATGAGCATAAAACCCGAAAAGGATTGTGCGATGCATAATCAGTTTTACAACTACTAAGAAAAGGAAAAAATTTCTTGTCGTTCTGGAAGAAACTGAGAAATTAAGACAACCTAATAGGAAAGGAGAATCAACACTACCGGCAATCAGTTTGTGAAGAAATACAGCTCGAAGGACAGTCCTCCGATTAGCCAATGACGGAAGATTAATAAGCAGAAGTCTGCTCGAGTAAGGCTGCAAACGAAGATTGGGATCCCAGTTTAAACCACGAAGAGCAAAAAGACGGAACTGTTTCTGAACAGACACAATTCGATCCTGATGCGTTCTGTACTGCGGACACCAAACGCATGAGCAGTATTCTAGAATAGGCTGTACCAGTAACTAGTGGTATAGTTTAGTGGTATAGGAATCATCAAATTCTTTGGACCAACGTTTGACGAATCCAAGAACGCCCTTAGCCTTTTTTATGATACAAGAAATGTGAAGATTTCTTATTCTTCAAAAGTGGAAAGTTGCCGATTAAACCAAGGAGGTTTAATTAAGGAAGATGGTACAACGCTATAGGGAATGCAGGCATCGAAAAGGGAGAGAATGGTCTCATAGAAAGAGGTAGACGCGATTTCAATGTCAAGGGATTCGTATATGTAGAAATGACCAATCAGTTTCTGATATTAATCTGTTGAGCTTATTAAAATCGCCTTTTCGAAAACAACGGCGTGTACTTTTATGAATCAATGAGGGAGAGGTTTAGTTGCGTAAAGAGAAATCGAAATTTCAATAGTAGGGTGATACGGATCTTCGGGAATAGATGGAGGTGAAGATCTAGAGATTACAGCATCTGTGCCCTCGTTTACAAAAATGAGGTCAAGCTGTCTATTTAGGTTATTAACAATTGAATTAAAAAAAGCGAAAAAATTAAAATTTTGATTAAATAATGCACGATGGATTTAAAAAATAATTTATGCATATGATGAAAGAAAAAACTTCAACAAATTCAGTTCAGTTCCATTTTTAAAAGTGCGTCATAATAATGAACGTGTGGTCGACTTTATATGGCAAATGTTTTGAATAGTCCTTCAAGGGCAGCGCACAGGTAGTCTGAGATGAGATAAGCCAAAGTAGGATGCGGCTTTGACAACAATAACAGCGATAATTCTCTTAACGCGCAGATATAAAGGCTGCAAAGCTTATTTTCAGGGCAGACGCCCAACCATGTCCTTCTTTCACTATCCACCGAATTGATGGCCCTTCAACTGCAGCGCACAAGCGGTCTGGGATAAGCTACGCAAAAGTAAGACGTGGCTTCAACAATGGCAGCAGCCATAATACGTCCAATGCGATTCAGGTATCCACTAAACACAATTGGGTGCAATGCAAGCTAAGCAGTTCTTCTGGTGATCTAGGATTGCCTCTGTACTCATATACCACCACGCAATAATGTCAGCGCACAGATATTTCAGCTTTTCCCGAGCAAGCTTGGTCAGAGTTTCCTGTCATAAGGCACTTTCAATGCTATTGAAGCGCTGTGCTCCTGCCGCTTAACACTCCAACCATCGCACCCAACAGCTAGACAACGACTCCTACGATCTCCTGATGTGGCACTGCAGGCTCATGTGAAGCGAAGGACTTACATGTTTCTCGTAATTCTTAC